TATATATATAATAATTTTTTTAATTAAATAACAATATAAAATCTTGTATATTGTAAAAGAAACTCTTTAAAAAAAAAAAGAAACCAAATGACAACAATATTATACAAAATGAACTAATGACCACATGATAATAATTAATTATGGAAGGATATAATAATAAGAACATGCATACTCCAAACATAAGAAGGAAATGAATGTCTTTCTTCGAGCCCACACAACTTCACAATTTAAAACGTGCACACTTAGTTTCAAGCCCAAAATTAGTCCAGGCCCAAGCAGAAGATTATAATTTATATTTATATTAATATGTGAAATACTGAAATAGTAATAAGAGATTCTTCAAAAAGTTGCATTCTTGAATCTGGAATGGATAGGAATAAGTTGCAATAAATATCTCTCGGTGGTGGTCCCATCCCATCCAAGTGTGACTGCGACATGTTATGTACAGTGTGTTTTTTTATCCATCAGATAGTGAAAAATAAATTACATAAAATAGTGGAAAGAAAAATAAAATAACAAAATAATTAATAAATAAGATAAAATTAAACATGCTTACTTTATGAAAAAAAATTATTATTATTTAAATATATTTTTATTTAATCAATTAAATTAAATTAAAAACATTCTATCGTTTTTTATTTAATCAATTAAATATAAGATGTAATAAAAGGTGTATTTAATTATTTCATACATTATTTATTGAATTAAAATTGGCAACTTTCGATCATTTTATCACATTTTGAAAATTATAATTTGTGAGTCTCCCCTTCTATTTCTCTTGATCTTTATTTTTTCTCTATTAAACATACAATTTTAGTTTCATATTTTTCTCAGCTTCTCTCACATTTTTTTTCACCAAAAATTATTATCCGCAGCTTTTATTATTTTTGTTTCTTCCTTTCCTTATTTTTTCTGTACCAAACACTTTTTTTTTTTTTTAATTTTAAATTTTGACTTATTTCTTCTTTCTCTCACATTATTGTTTCTTACATACCAAACGAAGCGGTAGTTGGCGTCATCCCTCTCTAAATTAATGAATTAATATAAAAATAAAAATAAAAATTGCACTTGGTTCAATGTTGGGTTAAGCGTACTTAGTGAATAGTGAATAATCGGGTCAGAATTAAGTCTATCCCATTCCCAAACCGTTGTTTTTATTGTCTGGTTCTACACTCGCGCTTCGCTTCGCCACTTGTGCTGTGCCACTTTCGTCGCAAACTCCGTTCTTCTCTTTCCGTTTTGTTCACCGATGCCACGACTCGATGGCGCCGATGTTTGGAAGAGCAAGGCTCGATCCCTCCAGCTCCAGCTCAGGGACCGTTTCAGAGTCGCCGTCCACCGCCACTGGCGCCGCCGCCACCACCACCATCAAGCCCTCATTCCCGCCGCCGAAGGCTACTTCTCCTCCACCATCCAGCGCTGGCTCGCACGATTTCGCGATTTCCGCCGAGACTCCTTGCCTTCTTCCACCTCTTTCTACCGCAAACGAGGTAACTCGATTAATTCTCTATTCCGCAAATCCACGTATATTTTCTCCAACGAATGAAATACGCAATAGGCATTATTGGCTAGGTTTTTTAATTTTCGCTTGACCTATATATATAAATCTACAGTGACTAGGGATTTCAGTTCCGAAGAAGATTCAGCTCTTGTTCGTATGATGCAAGCTGTTGCCGTTCCTGTTCTCGGAAACGTCTGTCACGTGTTCATGAACGGATTAAACCGTGTGCAGGTATGATATATATGCCAAATATCTGGTTCGGTTTATCATGTCCTGCATTCTTATATTTCATGTTACACACTCCGTGTATGTATGGAAGAACAGGTGTATGGTTTAGAGAAACTGCACTCCGCGTTGCTGCAAAGACCTAAGGGTAAACCTCTTCTTACGGTACGTGTTCTTTCTAGCTATGCAATGCAAAAGGAACGAATCTCTGTGTGTGGATTTAATTCATTGACGGGGGATTTTTTTGAATTTTTTTTAGGTTAGCAATCATGTTGCTTCCATGGATGATCCGCTTGTTATTGCTTCGTTGCTTCCTCCGAGTGTTCTTATGGATGCTAGGAATCTCAGATGGACGCTTTGTGCAACTGATAGGTGCTTTAAAAACCCCGTCACTTCTGCATTCTTTCGCTCTGTCAAAGTTTTACCAGTTTCTCGGGGTGATGGGATTTATCAGGAGGTATGATTCCAACAGACAGTAGCTAAGAGTCTTTAACAATGTTTGTAATATATGGTGAATGGTTCTCATTAACTTTTGTCATGTAATTTGAGGTTTTGGAGTTTGTCATAATAGCTAAACTCTGGTGAAACTTATGACTCTTGGTGAATATCTCATTGTTCTTTGTCTTTTACTTTTTTTTACTCTGCTGTGTCTTGAATGATTCAATTTATGTTATTGTTTTCTGTCTTGTTGGCAATTTATGTTGTCTCATTCCTATTTAGGGGGTGTTTGTTTTTGTAGTTATATCAATTAAGTATCTCTGACTCAGTCATTTTGTATCGTATTGATCTTTTCTTATTGTTCCATTTGTGTCTTGCTTTCCACCGGAATTTCTCTGGTTAGGGATGACTGTAATTCCATCTACTTCCTCTTCTGTAGGGAATGGACATGGCCCTTTCAAAATTGAATCATGGTGGTTGGGTCCACATATTTCCAGAAGGTAGTCGCTCCAGGGATGGTGGAAAAACCATGGGCTCTTCCAAGAGAGGTGTTGGGAGGTAACAATCTTCCATAGTAGTCTGGGTTAAATGCTAGCTGAAAATTTTGCTTGTTTCTTGTTGTGCAAGCCAGTTCTCACTTAAAGTTTTACATGTTTCATAGCAAGATTATTTTCTGACTGTTTAGAGTGGTTCCCTCGTGCTGGAGGGAGCATCCCCACTTAGTGATCGGTCCGCTAGTTCACACAAATCTGAATAAGTTGTTACGGACGAGCCACATGTAGGGAAGCTTGCACGTGTGGTTCTGGCTGGGCTTTTATCAAAATTACAATATTTGTTCCTGTTGTTTAGTTTTTTCCTTAAACTTTGATATTAGTCAATTAACCCTTTGGTAAAAATAATGTCATCCCTTTTTTTTTAATAAGATTAAAATTCAGATAATAGAATTTCTGTAATTATTCTCAAAATTTATTATTCTTTGGTTGTCAGTTTTGAGACATTGCATAGATTATGTCCATGGACCAAAAAAAAAAAATACAATCTCTCTAAATTTTTTTACTGTGTATTTAAATGGGGAGTTAGGAACATAACTTCTATGGTTACTATGCTGATAAGTTCTGAAAATGAAGTAGACAACTATTACCATTTACCATTACTCGCAAAAAATAGTTATTTGCTCAAATCACATTGGACATAATGAAGTTGAATTGAAACTGATAAGGATATGTACAGTTTGTTAGTTTTCTCTCTTAAAATTTTAATGTCGCTATTCAGACTTGTGATTTATATATTTATTTTCAAAAGCATGATCATTTAAATTTGGATGTGTTGATATTATTCATATATAATATAAATTTTAAGGTTATGTATGTATGATTTTATTTGTCTTTGAATCTCTTTGCTTCAACTCTGCTTGAGGATCAACCTTGCAGCTGTTGTCAGGCCTTGTTACAATCACTACCATTTCTGTGCACCCATCTACACATATATGCGTGCTTGTACCATTTTATTGTGCCCACATGCCTGGGTGCACATGTGTGTGTAGGTGCTCATGTGTATGTGTATGTGGATGTGTGTGCGTATATAATACTTCAGAGAAGGCCTTACTCTATTCTTATTTCCTTCCCTTCAGTTCAGGAATATTTGTCACTGGTTTTATAGCATGTGTTGATTTCAAATTGGGTAAATATATTATTTATTTATGTATGTGTGCTTTAGTCATAAGGTGATGGTAATTTACCGCTGATAATTTTTTTCCATGGCACACAATAACTTAAGAATGATTAATTTCTAAAATATCTTGTTACATCTGGGACGTATGTTTCAGATTCGCACTCTATCATATCTTTTACTTTTAGTAACTTTGTTCATGAGGATGGGGTCAATACTGTATTTGATTTAGTATAGAGTAAATCGTGTTTCCTGATTTAAATTTTCCCTATCAGGTTGGTCCTGGATGGAGATAGCATGCCCCTTGTTATCCCATTTGTACATACAGGGATGCAGGAGATTATGCCTATAGGTGCTAACTTTCCCAGAATAGGCAAGATGGTACGTATTCTTTATTCATTTCTGAGGATATTTCACCAGCATGAGGAACTAATGAAATTAATCCAGCTTTAGTCAATCTATGAAACTTCCAAAGTTTTAATTGCTGCATGGTGTTAGACTGCTTGGCTTTAGGGAAAATGCTGCACTCATTGCTCCTTAACTTTGGATCTGTTTCTCACTCCCTCAGATCAAGATGTTCAATTACAGAATTTAGATTCTGCATGGCATGGCATCACATATTTTTAGTGATGTGATTTCTTTTAGTTGCTTGTATTTTTCAGTTTAAACCTCTTATTCTGATTAATATGACATGCATGGATTCTCTAGGTTACTGTGCTTATAGGTGATCCAATCAATTTTGATGATATACTTGAACTTGAGATGGAGAAAGGCTCGGATGTGCCAAGGAGGCGACTATATGATGCAGTAGCATCTAGAATTGGTGATCGGCTGCATGAGTTGAAGGTCCAGGTTGACACTGTAGCAATTGAACAAGAAATGCAACTACAAGATCACTCCTTGCGCAGCATTGAACGAACATCTGAAATATTGCAGCAGGTGGATTGGGAATTATTTGGAATGGATAGCTTCATGCCTGCAGAAGATGATTCCAGGCGGAGACAAGAAACAGTTGCCCTCCCAAATATAAGTGTTTCTCAGCCTCAGCAGTCTCATAGTGATCAGAGTTGGAGAGCTGGGTTCTCATACAGGATGCGTGGTTATATAGATCAGATGGAGCTTGTGTCTTTTGCTGCTAGAGGCATTTTTATGAATAATGAAACGAAGAACTCTGCTGGCTGTAGTAGAGAGATAGGCCCCTTAAAGGCATGGAAACAGTTTGTGGAAGCTAATCTATTACGGCAGTGGAATTACGTCAATTAATGAAAACATAGTTATAGAGGGTGTAAATTTTAATCTTCGGCTTTCGATTAAAATAATTTTGAGATTTTGTTAGACCAGCAGTTAAACGCAGTAGAATTGCTGCTGAGCGTTGGCAAATCAAATAGCTAACTTATTCGTTTAGTTGTTTCAGGGTGAAATTATATTGTGGCATACGGTCCTATAAGGGTAGAACTGTAAAAGCCCTTCCATTTTTTCTCTGCAGAAACTATGAAGGCACCTAGGAGGGCAAATAAAATTCATGTAATATATGCATAGATATTTACTAATGTATACTCTAATTTTTAAGAAAAGATATTTTAGTAAGTTTTTACTTTTGATTTTTTAAAAATATACTCGAGTTAAAAAAAAAATGAGTATATGATAGCAAATGTCTCTCTCGGTTTCTCCTTTACCGTCGACAGACATATTAGGTGCAAATTTAGTCAGAGGTGGAGTTAATTAATTTTGATTATATAATCATATATACGGGCTTTAGATTGTTTTAGTTACATTTGTTATCCATCAATCTCTTGATATATATTAAACTTGTTTGAATACAAAATTACAAATTCTTGAGTTTTTTTACTGATTTTTTTTAGTAGAGAAATTTTTAAGAGTACTTTTAATTTGTAATTTGTATTATCTGTATCTAAACAGATTTTGTTTTAGATCTCTCAGCTCTATGAAAGGAATTAACTACCATACATGCAATTTTGTATTTATATTTAGGTTGTTTAATTTTATGAAAGAGAAATGTTATCTTTTACCAAGAACAAAATATTTAGTATCTTGAAGGAGTTGCTATTATAATGTGTAAAATTAGTATATCTAGTGTTTGATATTTTATAATTGATGCATTAAATGGAAAAAATGTACTGTTATTAGGAAGAAAGATTTCATTAAATGTAGAAATCAGGTTTTTGATGAAGATTAGTGATCAGTAAATAACATTAATTAAAAAAAATTGATGCACTACACAACGAAAGCTTTTTAAAAGTTACCAACATTATTCAAAATGTATTCTCTCATGGTAGAGTTGGAAAATTGGGAGCAGGAGTGTTGTTGTGCATTGGACCTTTTTTGGCAATTAATTGAAGCGGCAATGTAATCTATAATGTTGAGCGTGATTGTCGAGCTGAAACCTTGCGCCATGGCCTGTAGTAGTACTTTACAGATCACACACTAACGCCACACACTACAGAACGAAGTATTAAGTATGATTATTAGACGCAGTTGGGCCCATAATGTTTTTCATTATGGAGCCCACGGGCCTGATTGGCGAGGAAGCGTTCTCTTCTCTATCATTCAGAGTTCAGACGAGACAATGTGAGATCTTCACTCTCCTTTTCTTCATTACATTTTAAAATCGCGTCTTCTCCTCTGTACTCTGACATGGCCGAAGAAGAAGAAGAATCAGAGCTCAGCGATAAGCAGAAAGTAGAAATCGCCAAATGGTTCCTCCTCAACTCTCCTCCCGGAGAAATCCAATACGTTGCCAAAGGTTCCTCTTCCTTTCTCGCATTTTCTTATTCGCCATCTATTACTCTGTAATTCAATCAATTCTCGAATCGTTTCCGCAGATGTGAAATCCATTCTGAACAACGACGATTTGTACAATGAGGCCGCTTCCGAGGCTTTTCCCGTTTACAACAAATTCCACTTGATTTCCCTTCCAATGTCCAACCGAAGCGGAGACGTAACTCTCTCTCACTCGACAACTTATTTTCCTAGGGTTTACGAGCCAATTCTTTTTTTATTTTCGAAATCGTTGGATCTTTAGCAATTTCTTATGCTACTTAACAGGTACTGGTTAATTCGTTTGGTGAGCTTGAGGGTAATGCATTTCTTGAACCTAGGACTGCGCAAGTAGCAATTGTTGACCATGTTAAACAAGTAACTCCTCTCTCAATTTCTTAAATATTGTATCAGAAGCTAATTTTTTCCTTTGAATATCCATATTTCTGCTTAACTTTTCGTTTCTTTCTAAGGAAGGGGATAAGCAAATTAGACATTTATTATACACTCTTAGTCTTAGTTGTAATGAAGGTGGAACAAATTAAAGGTAATGATGATTGTAATCTGGATCTTCATGCATTCATCTCAACATTAGTAGTGATTTGGAACATGAATTTCCGGCGAATACATCGAAATTACAAGAAAACTTCGTTGACATTAAGGGGATTAAGCAAATCATGAGAGTTTTGTTATTGCAACCATGACTTTTGTAGTTCTAATTTGTATCGCTTATTGTCGTATGATGATGTGCTCAATGTCTCAGGCTTGTACAGAGGTGAGACCTGCCACAGACGAAGAACTTCCGTCTCCATATACTGAAGAATTTCGGTAATTCTCTGAATTTTCTGTTTGAATTATTTTATGTCTGATAATCTGATGTTCCTTTGCTAAGGTGAGCTTCACAATCTATTCAGAGGCAGAACATATTGCTTCAAATAAATTTATCCATGTTGCTTCAGGAATTTATTATTCCTCAATTTTTAACTGTCTGTCTGAACTCTGTGAGTGTTAATTGTTTACAGTAGATTGACTGCGGAAATGTCTTCAATTTTAATTCATAATCCTTTTAATTGTTCTACTGTACTAGATTTGTGGTTCCATGTAAGTGTTTTATTGTGAATATGTTCTGTATTTTAGTTAGGAAGTGGACTCATACGGGTGTTAGTTAATATCTTGGTCGACATTTGAGGACCTGAATTAAAGTTTCACCCCTTAAATAAAGTAACCTGAATACCAAACTTCTATATCTTTCTCGTAATATGTAGCTTGCATAATAGGACTTGTTTACTGCAGATGCAATCTGGATGCTGAAATACTTAAATATGTTGAAGAAGCTTATCCAAAAGGTGTCTGCTCTGTCTACTGCACAAGTGGGAAGGATGTAGAGGGCCCAGGTTCTGATTTTGAGCTTGCTGTGGTGATTTCTGCTGCTAGGCATAGCCCGCAGAATTTCTGGTTTGTGAAATTAGTTGATTGAAATTTCAACTATTCTTTTTGATGGTGACTTTCTACTTCTCTAGCTACACAATAAAACATTGATGTATTAATAATGTCAATATATTATTTTTCTTTGGCTTTTGTTTATAGCAATGGGAGTTGGTGTTCAATATGGAATATTGAGTTCAGAGATGATCAACAAACTGTGGAAGTAAAGGGTAAATTGCAGGTAATATTGTGTAGGTTTTGATGCATTGATTTGAATGATACAATGCAAGGCTCTTAAATGTTAAACAATTACTTTTAACACATCTTCAGGTGGGGGCCCATTACTTTGAGGAAGGAAATGTGCAGTTAGATGCGAAACATGAATGCAAAGATGCAACTCTTTTTCAGGTTACCATAAATCACCATTACGTTGCAATTTTACTTTTACTTTTATTTGGTGGGAATGTATCGCTTAAGTTATATGTAATGTCCTTCCTTCCATATATTTTTTGCAATTTAATGTACTTGTTGTATCTTGCAAGCCCGAGAATATTTTAGTAAATGTCTGTGATATAAAAATGATAAGGTGGGGATATAAATGGAACATTTATAGAAAGACAATACTTATGTTTCCGTCAAAGCTTCTCTATTCATATGTTATCATTTGATTTTATTTCAGGCCCCCGAAGATTGTGCAGTTGCCATAACAAGCATTATTCGCCACCATGAAACAGAGTACCTTGCTTCTCTTGAGGTTCAGAACTTGTTTTCTTTTAGCTAGGGTCTTTCTTTCTTTATATTTTAATAATGTGCACATGATTTACTGATGACCATAACTTGACAGGCATCATATCTAAAACTTCCTGATTCTACTTTCAAGGTAACCATTGTTATATTATCCAGGAATCCCCCACCCCTAAGATTTAGAAGTGGCATTTCTGCGTGATCTATGGTTATTGATGAGTCCCATTAAAGCAATCTCATGTACCTAATCTTCTCTCGTTAAGCATCCTTGTCATGGCTTAGATCAAACACCTGTAGGATGTTTTTCTTTGATCCTTCTACTGACTGGATCAATTCATTTTATTGCTCTGTTATGTGACATCTATGATCGAGTATGAATTGATAGCGCTTGCAACAATGTGATTATTGAAGTTATGTCCAAAATGTTCAATTTATATTATTGAAGTGATGTCTAATTTGTATAATTTGAGTTTAATCTGAATGAAGCCTGACTGTACACGGGTAGGTAATAAAAGGGGCTAGCTATTCTCATGCTTTTCTTAGGTATATCTATAGCATAATATGTTGAATTTGAAGCCAATTTATTACAATTATTATTTGCAGGATCTTCGGAGAAAGCTTCCTGTCACCCGCACCTTATTTCCATGGCACAATACGTTGCAATTCAGCTTGACAAGAGACATCTCAAAAGAACTTGGCATTGGAAAGTAAATACACACATTCACATAGAACAAATAAAAGTTTGTGTTTACTCGAGCTGGGTGGCGACAAGTTCTCATATATGTTATTTGATCAAGTCAATCATTCTTAGGGTTGACGTTCTTTATATTCACTGATTTGCTTCATGAAGCAACCTCCTTTGTCTGAGTATCCTCCGCTGATGTACTTTAGTGTACTGTAATTCTTTTTTGACATTATTTGTATAGCAGAAAAGAGTTCCTGTTGTTTCTAGCCATTATACCTTCGAAGTTTCGTGACTGCAATTAGAAATATTGCCAGAAGCTGGTTTCTTACTCGCATTATGATTGTGCGTGTTGTTATTATTATTTAGAGATAGTCTTGTCTATTTGAGAGTTTTGTTATTGATTTTATTATAAAAAAAATTTCGTGACTGCAATTAGAAATATTGCAAAAAGTTGTCTAGTTGAAGACCGAACATTCTTCCGACTTTTAAAAATACTGACACTTGTTAAATTGATATATTATAATACTAATGTAAAACAAGTAATTTTTGTCCTAATATATTATATTTAAAAAATAAAATAAAATAATTGAGATTAAGTAATAATAGGTGGTTTATAATTGAGGCATAATAGTTTCAGGTAGAAATAACTCGATAAAAGTTCCTAAAAGAGAAGAAAAAAAAATAACAAAGTGAAAACTATTAATTTTTTATACATAGGGGTAAAATAGTCTTAAAAAAATAAGGGCCAAAAACAATTACAAAACTAAAGACTATTAAAAAAATATTTTTTTTTAGAGTTAATCACCTATACACTGTCAGTATAAAATTTTTTTACACTGGCAACTAATTATATTTTTTAATTGTGTCATGTTATTATAAACACATTTATTTTTAATAATGACATGACACAATTAAAAGATATAATTAGTTGTCAATGTAAAAAAAATTTATACTGGCCGTGTATAAGTGATTAACTTTTTTTTTTATCACTATCAGAGGTTTATCTCATTACTTTTAATAGTTTTTTTTTATACAATATTAGAGATATTTAAAAGAAAAGATATACATTTTTCTAGGTTTAATGTTTAACTAATATTTGTGTGATAGTTTTAAATTGTCGTAAATTAACTCTTGGGACTAATTGAAAAATAAAAAAATCTATAAATTTACAACCAAATTAAACATTCTAAAAATAAGTTGAGGACCAGTGATATATTAATTTAAATCATTTTTCTATTACCACAAAAAAATATGAGTGAACTAAAAAACATGAGGGGGTAAAAAACCCCAAAATCCTTAAAAACTGCCAATGTTGTTGTGTTTAATATACAGGGCAGACATTTTGTTTTAAAACATGAACTCTGAGACTTGACATTAGTATTACACGAAAGGCAAATCGCTATTCTTCCTTTGTCGTTCTTGCAATTGGTGCGAAACGACGCAGCAGCCTCATAGGTCGCCGCCAAATCAAGTAGCCATTGAGGTCAGTCCCTTTCTCTCTCCCATTCCATTTTTGTTATTTCGCTAACTGTTTTGCTTTTCATAAATTACTTGCTATTCAACCGTTTTATAACATCCTTAAACCTCAACTAGATCTAGCTTTGTTGTTATTCTATAAATTTGTTCATCTTTCCTGGCATTATGGTGTATCACGTATATAAAATTTTGTAGCAATGCAAGTTCACAGCAACATGCTCGTTTCGAGGAAAAAGTAGCGGGGAGGAGGAATATTACTTCCTTTGCCAAATAATTAAGATATGAATTGTTACAGTGCCAACAAATGATCACTTTTTCAACATTTATCCTTGATTCTTTTCCTTCAATAGCTGATTAGATTATACCATCCTTCATAGTTAGGGTTACCCAATAGGATGCTTCATGCTTTGAAACCATTATATAGTCCATAGGAAAGCTGTTATTCCTGAACACCTTCGGCTTCCTGAGTTACAAATCCAAATCAATCATATTAGTAATGAATCTCTTGTTCAGAAAATTCCTAATAAAATAATATAATCATAACTAATAATTATCCTAATAAAAAATAATAATATCAAGGATTTGAAACTAGATATTCTGATATGCAATCTTGTCAAGAAAGGGAAATATAAAGAAACAAAAATAAACAGAAACTATTCAAGATTTATATAAAGAGATATAGCAATCCCCAATCGATTAATAAGTAATATATATGTCTGTCCACTGATATTGTAAAATATAGCAGAAATGTGGGCCTGCCTCATTTACTAAATTTCAAAACGGATATCTATTTTCTTCCATGACCGAAAATGGGTGTGTGATGATTTTGACAATTAAGTAACTCAATTTATACTGTTGTGACGTGTAGATACTAGATAATAGACATAAAACAATCGATTATTGAATCTAGGCCATTTTCATATATAAAGAATTTAATGCATCTTGGTATCTCAAGCGACTTTTCTGGGTTTTTCTTTAGATGAAGCTTTGAATCTGTTTCCACAAAGTAAAAGGTATCTTTCATTAAAACTCGAACTAGAGCTATTATATTTTGAGATTACAGGGCTATTTCATTGTTTGGTGTTTCATCTCTCTTTTTATCTTTTTCTTTTGAGCCAGCTTGCCTGCCAGAGATGTAGTTGATTCTGCAAAGGTTGAAAATCAAAATGAACAGTGAATGATGGTTTATTTCATATCTCTAACCATCTGTGACCATTGTAATTAAATCTATGTGCTGCCTTTCCTCTCTGGCTCTGGAATGATGTTACTTAGCCAAATCAGATATTCATGTGCTCCATGTGGCAACAAACATCACTTTTAAAGCTTGCTCCCGTTGTAAAAATAAAGCATGCCGACAAGCTTTGGTTGATGTTTTGTCCCACATGTTGAAGCGCATTTCCTTGATGATAAACAAGGGGATTGGTTGTTTCCTGACCAGAACCACAATAATTTTGTTTCTCCAGAGCAGGGAAAAGCAGTGGTCAATTTGGATTACCATATAAGTTTCTCTTAGTCTTATGTCTTTGTTTTGTGTTGGGTAGCATCTTTGTTACACATGCAAACACAATAAATGGGAAAAAAGGGAATCCAAGTGTATATGCTTATGTGTCCTTTGATAATACCCTGGGTTATGAAGAGGGCATTTCATATTGGGAAGAGTATTTCGGATCCTGTAGGGTAATTAGATTGTATTGAACTGCCTCCTGTAACAGTTTCTTGTTTTTTACATTTTGTATATGCATAATGCAACTCATTAAAAGGAGGTGGAGCTATGCCTGTGTTAGAAATGTATAACGTAGTGGACCGAACATTGACTTTAGGTAGTGTTTGGTAGACATGTTATAATGGGATGGAATGTAACATGAATTTTATTCTAACCAAGGAAAAGGAAACAGAAGATGATATTTCATTCTGTCCATACCCTAAACAATGCTATATAATCTTGAATGGGCACTTAAAATTTATTGTCTTTGTGTCCATCCTTCTTAGGCCATGGTTAAAGCTCCATATAATTTCAAGTTTTTTAATGGATTTCATTATGACATCAAGTGATTGCTTTGAATTTTTGACCTAGGGTTGCTAACTTGTATTCTGGTGCCTTTCTTTATTGATCTCACCTGGTTAATTTTATTGTTTATGATGTGAACTTTTAAAAGAATAAATTCAATAGCAATCATTTGGTAATTACTAAAGTTCAAAATGGGATGGAAGACATTCAAGAAAATTTTATAATATGATTTGTTTATGCTATTGGACTAAGTTTTACATTGAAGGTATGCTTCAATGACAACTTATGGTTGATGTATGGTTTTCACACATGCACACTACTTTCATGTCATACAACAAAGCTATCTAAACTAAATGAAATGTGTTGGAAGTGGGAATGAAAAGCACAAATGAACTTTTAGTGTTAGGCTTGATAATTGAGAAGTGCTTAGGATTGAAATAAGAGTTAAATATTGGTTTTGGTTGGTGTGGCCAGTGTTGTGCTGTTTGTAATCATTGCAAAAAAAAGAAAGAAAAGAAAAAGTGAAGACTGAAGAGAATGGATGTTTGATATAAGATATTTGAGAAAATGGGTTTACATTTGTTAAATTTTCTTCTGTTGGTTCTTGTGATCATTTCAATTCAATGCCAATCAGAGTTATCAATTCTTAAGCCTAACCATAGCCATCATTATATGTTATCATAATGTGTTAGGCTATTATTGTGGTTTAGGGTTTAGAATAAAATATTTTTTTGGTGCCTTTGGGATCTAGAATAAAATATTTTTTCATCAGAGAATAAGATGTTTAGGGAGATATTGGTTTTGGAAGGGAAGGTCCTACTCATCATATATCTCCCAAACTAATATACCCAAAAAGACTGTCTTAATGTTACCATTTTTAGCTTCTGTTTACTATAGATTGTCAGTGTTCTCACAGATACTTGGCATGAATGTCAGCAGATAGTTTGTTAGTTTGAGCAAACTCAAATACATCAACGGTATGTTAGAACAGTGGATAGTGTATATAAAGAATGAGGGGAATAATATAAGGGAGGTTTTAGACTTCGAATAGGAATTTGGAGAGGGAAAGAACTGGATCTCTCAAATAGCTAGGAATTAGAGAGCTAGATGGGGTGTTCCATTCCATTGTATCATTTTGACCTCTGGTTGTGTGTCGCATTGATATTGATCAAGGAAGTTTCTGCAATAAAATCCATCTGTTCATCCTATCCTATTTCTGGTTCAATACAATTGCTTCTGCTGTGCTTTCAATATATTATAAGCTATCATTTCGGATTCTTAGATTCTATTCTAATTCTTTTGTTATTATCTTTTACTTATTCAATATTACATTATTACTGATTAAACCTTTATTTATTTTTCATAACCATGAGTTTTAATGTAGATTTATCAAATCATTTGTATAGACTTTATGCACTGCTATTATGTCTGGTTAAGGAGCTGAGTTCCTCTGGACACTAGAGCTAAAAAATCTGCCATTCCTTATCATTATCATTGGTGTTGTTTATGCGTTTAGGATCTTGTCTTGGCTTACAAGCCAACTCTTCCCACCAACTGTATAAATTATAAATCTACATTTTTCATCCTGTTTGTCATTGCATTTTGTGCTCTCCACTTGAGCAGTGTTTGAATATTCTTTTGGAATTGATTTTGATGTTTTATGACTATATCCCTTAGCTTTTTCAAGCAGTGTTGTCAAATAGCAGTCATGGTGGTATGGTTGTGGTGTGATGACTGCCATCATGCTCATGGCACCACAAATCCCAAAACTATGGAAGAAAATGCCAAAACAAAAATCTAAAGAGATGGGTCACTTTGGACAGACCCGTTTTTTATCCATTTTCATCATGGTTTACCCTTGACTCATTACCTTTAGTGAAACTGTAATACACAAAAAGTCTATCTTGAGGAGACCACCATCCATCTCTTTCAATTTTCAGCGCAACCCCATCTTTGTTTTCTTCTTTTCTCTCCATCTCAGCCAGTGAAGACTTCACCTCTGATGATGACTTGTGTATTCTAGAGATGCTCCCCACCTTTTCCCTTTCCTCAGTATCTTTCTCTCCATTTTCTCTTCTTCGTTTTTTGACTACTATCTCTTTTTTTTTTGTCTTCTCTTTTCTTTTACTCTTCCATCTCTTATTTTATTTTTTCTATTGGTTCTGCTCCATTTTTTTTTTCTTTTTCTGTTACTCTGTTTTTTTCTGGCACACTGCCTTTATTTTGCATTATCCCCTCCATTTTTTATGATACTGTGTTTTTTTTGGCTTTTAGTTCTCGTCTCTCTGTGCTTGTGTGTGACTGTGTGTATAGGGAGCCACCATGCTTCTGCCATAACCCACAACACCATCCACCAGTGTGGTGTTTTTCCAGCTTCCCGCCTTGAACTGCCATGCACCATTAACAAACTGTTTTCAAGTACTTTCAATTATGTCTTTTTATCTTTTGAAATGCTCCTTTTAACTGGTAACGAGTAGTGCAGTTCATAAAGAGTCGGTTGCAATATTAAATTCTACCCAATTGAAATGGTTCAATGTGTACTAAAATACTGATCTTCTGCAGGTTTGTGTTGAAGATTTGGGTGTGTTCTTCATTAACAATCTATCACATTTGCATATGCAATATGCTTATCCTGCTTTGCATTCTCCACGTCCTCGTGAATGGCCCAACTCTTTGCTTTGGGAATAAGTGAGTGTACAGAAATCTTCAATTTTATATTTATCTTAATTGTTCGGACTCCGCATATCAGAAGTCTCCTTATTAATAACTTGGTTATAGTGCTCAAATGTTTGCTGTGGTAGGGTTGAGGACAAATTTTTAAAAGTTGGAGAAGAGCTGTGGAGAGAAACTATGCCATTACAAGGTGGCTCTCGCTTTTATCAATTACAAGGTCTGAAACCCCATACGTGGTATGAAGTGAAGATATCATATCCAGCTTCTGTATGTATATTATGTCTTCCTTCATTTGCAGGGGATCTTTCCTCTGGAAACTGACATACACTAAATAAAAAATATCAGATACCTGCAAGCTTTTCCATACAACTGAAGAGAAACAAGTCGGATGGGGTGCTGAACAATAACAGGAGATTGCTCAACACTGAAAAGCTAATTTTTAAGACCAGTAGCAATCAGGTCCAATATTAGTATGAAGCTCTGTACTTAAAAGCATCTGAAAAGTCTATATGTGCTTTTGTTATGTTTTATCTTACAACAATCACTTAATTCAGGATGAATTCCAGTTAATATTAGTAACCGTCGAGCCAGAGGGGTTTCCAGCAAAACTGCATGTAGCAGAGAGGCAATTTATCATCTTTAATATAGGTAATTTTTGTGCACAGTCTGTTGATAATTTTGATATTATTACTAGTTTTATACCCTTTTTACTTTCTGCTATTTTTTTGGATTATTGGAACAGACTCCAGTGTTACAATTCCTTTATTTGCTAATTTTTTTTAATCTTCTGTTGATACGGCAGTATGTGATGAACTATTATTAGGCATACCCCACAAAGCTTGGTGGGTAGTGGCACTGGCTTTACTCGGTCTTGGAATTGCATTCATCGTTCCTTCTTTTCTTCCATTATATTTGTTACCAAAGAACCAAGTCCCAAGGACAAATGATCATGTTTCGAAAACTTCTTGATGAGTCTTCAAGGAAGAGAGAGTGATTGTAGGAATTGATTGATTGTCTCAAATGCTGTGACTCTGAGGCACGTCTGCACATGGCTTGTGGCTACTAATTTTTCTTCCATTGTAGGATTGTTTGGATGTCACCTTGTGGCTACTAATTTTTAAACTTCCATGAACCATGTTCCACAAGTCATCATATTTGATGTGTCTAAAATGCAAGAGAACTTCAGGATTTGTTGTCTCCGTCATATTTTACTTGTGATGAAGCTCTTAACTTCATTTATACTGTTATCTTAGAAACCTGCTACATTAATTAACTTTTTGTCCTTCCCGACAATGAACTTAAGTGGTCTTTTGGGACATTAGTTCAACATGTGATGTCTTCAATATCAATTTACATTGAATAGCCACTAGCCAGTAACATTTTATCCGACACTTTAAATTTAATAAATTAATGTCTTGCTTCGGATGATTATCTATTTTAGGTTTTTAATTTTGTGATTTTTTTCTTTTAATTTTTATGTTTTCAATTTTTTAAAACTCGGACCCGTAGGTTGAATTGGTTTAATTGAAAATCAGACACGTGACCCAGTCAAATCATGTTTTCAGATTGGACATGCAATTACTCTGTGGCTTAAATTGGTGAGAACCGGTGACATGGCCTATCCACTAAATCCATACCCTCAGTTGCCAAACATTATAAACAATTGAACTAATGCATATTATTAATATATACGCAACGAATTTAACTTATATGCAATACGTTACATAAAAATTTCATATATTTAATATATAAATTTGTTCATGAGTTTCAATTATTAATTGATAAGTTCAACCAGCCAGCGATCTAATAATTAATATTGATTTGGTTTTAATAACATTGACGGATGTGTATAAAGGGTTTTCCATTTTCTTTTATGTCCATTTTTTTTCATATTCTAAACTTTTGAAAAAATAAATAAAACGAACATAATACACAATTTAAGAGTGACATTTATGCTTTCAAAGTTTTAGTAATAGAAGAAATGGAGAAGATTTTTACTTAATGATGATAGGGGATAATGGCAGAGAAATTGAGGTGATTTTAACAATTGTGATAATCATGATAGTGTTACGCGTAATAGTAAGGGTGAAATGATTGTAACCATGATGATATCAATTAATAGTGGTAATGGTGGTAATAATAATAGTAATCACAATACATGATGGTAGTGTTATAAAAAGTATTGGTTAAATATTGGACATTATTAGAGACAACTTATAATATATTTCACTCTTATGTTTCGTAACCATCCTATTTTACTTAGTACCGTGTTATTATTTGTAAGCATTTGGATAAGATTCCCGTGGCCCGTGTTTTGATTTCACACATTTGTAGGTTGAAGAGTCATCACTAATGAAGGAATAAAATAAAATAAAACTGGTCATTAAATAATAGACAAAATAATCCAAAGAATATGAATCAATCTATTTGTCTTTTGTGTCAAATGATTTGAATGATGAGTATTGAGTTGAGAGCAGAGAGAGGGGTTTTCCAGTGAAAGCAAAAGAATGAGAAAAGAGATAAATGAAATGAAAAGGGACGAAGAGAGCCTCAATGTTTCAGACAAAAAGCTCCCTAAAACAAAGCGCGTTGAGTCGCTTGACATCTTTCGTGGTCTCACTGTTGCGGTACCTCTCTACTTTTCTACTTCATTTTTTTAGTACCATTTGGAGATTATGATTAAAATCAATTAATCTATTAGCTCTTAAGTTTTAAGTTCTATCTTTATCTTTGATGTTGCAAACAAAAAATAGTAATAATTGAAAGCTTGGGTTTATACCAACAATGCTATAAAAGTTAAGAATCTGAGGGATTTATTCTTTAGAGGAAAAAATATGTCGATGGCAATTTGTGTAAAACCCTTTTATACTGTCGATCAATGCATATATTATTTTCTTCTGATTTTATTGCTTCAATATTTAGCATAACTTTATATGGATTGCCTGATGGTATTCTATTTATGTTATAAAATGAATCTATGGACTAATATGTCGGGTGTATATTTATTTTTTGCCAACGGTTTTCTCATGAAAATGTTTAAGTAGGTTTTACAACAAGACTACAATACAAAATTTAAAGATTTTCGGTCAATAATAGCAATAAAGATTGTAAAGAGTATTTTACTTTTTAACTTTTGCGAGATAAATATATCTATGGAATCCCAATTAAGGTGTATGATCGTGGCTGTCTATGGTTATTTAATAATCATTCAATTTCTTGCTTTTTTTTTTTTTTTGAGGGACAATTTCGTCCTTGTTTACTATTATACCGTTTGTGTTGTTTACTCGTCATGTTGTAAGTAAATATGAGTATATTATAGGTACGTTTGATTAAGTTTTAAACTTTTTTTTTTTTTCATAGAAGTGTTTTAAAAAAATAATTCTTTAAGAAAAATAAGAGATACTTCTTTAAAAAAAAAATTCAAAAGAAAAAATTTAAACAAACACATTAAAAAAGTACTTTTTTTTTATTTTAAAAAAAATTAAATCCTTATATATAATTTGGCCAGAAATTATCAGCCAAAACTTAAATATAGAAAAGAAAATGATAATCTTTTTACTCTCTTATCTTTTATTTGGTAAAATAGATAAATAAAAACCCTCAGCCTCTCATCAGTAAGTAACCAACTTTCTTGAGCCTCTATGTGCAACTACAAGTGAATCTCAGATTCTGCAGTTTACTCTCCTATTACTTAAAAGCAAACGTATTTTTTTTTGCGGTTTAGTGCTGTTTCAAAACTCTTCAGTAATCCTCTGAAACTCTGAAAGAATATATGTTCTATAAAGCATAGTGAAAGCTAGCAAAAGAAATTAAAAGCTCAAGACCAAACCACATCTCCACCTCACAAATAACAGTCTACCAAGAAGAAAGCTTAGAAAGGTTTTATAATATTCATTCTTGTGCCACAAGTATGAATCTATGGACTATGTATTGCGATTTGATTGTGTTCATGAGCTGCTACATCAGCACTATGTCTCATTAGGTATGTATACCATTGTTTACCCTTAGTTCTCTGTTACAAAAATCTCATTTTCAAACCACCAATGAAAAAATATAGTCATTATTATTTTTGAATTGTAAATATCATTATGATTTGGCTTTAACATGCTTTAATGATGATCAATGCACGCAGTTAATGATCTTGGTTGATGATGCTGGAGGGCAATGGCCAATGATTGGTCATGCGCCATGGAATGGCTGCAACCTTGCTGATTTTGTTATGCCTTTCTTCCTGTTCATTGTGGGGATGGCCATTCCACTTGCTCTCAAGGTTAGCTGCAAATGAGTGTCTAAGAATGCTTATGTATTGGTTGCTCTGTTCCTTTATTTGTTTTTCTTCTTTTTTAGTTCAAACCAGTCCTTTATTTCTTGATGCTTCTATTTGATGTGCAGAGAATACCAAATAAACTTGTAGCTGTAAAAAAGGTGATAGTTAGAACACTCAAACTCCTCTTCTGGGGTTTGCTCTTGCAAGGTTAGTTTTTCCCATGCATTACCTCTTGCACTCCTTTTTCAAAAATGTGATAAATAAGCATTTTATGTTATCCGTAGAAGAGGACTTAATTTCCCAATACCCTAGAGTTCTCCTATTTAAGAGGAATGAGGAAACATGAACTACTAATTCAATGTTATGCAGCCATTGCTAAGCAGGACACTTAGCTGAAGTGATCATGAATATTGAACCTTGAAAAAGTTATGTTGGTGAAATGTGGTACAATAATTGAATCTAAATTTTGTATTAGCAATTCTTCATATGCCAAGAGTCTAAAACAAATTTGTGGGGTGAAAGACAAAACATTATGGCTTATTTTAATATGACGGATGACCTCAATGATGAAGGTGGTTTCTCTCATGCTCCGGATAATTTAACATATGGAGTTGACATGAAACACATAAGGTGGTGTGGCATTCTCCAGGTGATTTTTATCATTTTTCCTGCTCATTTTGATAGAGAAGATTTTATCTAATAATTCTGACTATAAAAACAATAATACTTGTGTTTGTACCCCTTCTAGAGAATTGCTCTAGCATACCTGGTTGTAGCACTGGTGGAGATATTTTCAAGAAGTTCACAATCTAGAGATCAGGAACCCACCCATCTCTCAATATTCAAGTTGTACTACTGGCATTGGTTAGTCTCTGAAAGTATGATTCTGGTTGATCTCCAGTATGATATGTTTTTAAACATTTTATCCATGCAAATTTCAGGCTGTTGGGGGCTTGTATACTTGTTGTTTACTTAGCTTTACTTTATGGAATTCATGTTCCAGACTGGCAATTCACTGTCCATAACCCAGACAGCATATACAATGGCACAACTTTTATTGTAAGCTTCCAGTTGTCTGCCTCTGATACTCTCTCTACTCACACGAACACACGAAATTGAAATATCAATAGTGTTTGATTTGTGGGGAACATGTCACCTAACACTTTTCTCTACTTGAATAGAGTAGACTTTGGTTTCCAATCCTGGTGATATCGCTTATGTTCATATTTTAAATATTTTGATTGACTATAATATAGTTTTTGCTTTATATGAAATTTCTTTTTTTCTTTTTTCAGTGGTGTCAGTTTTCAACAGTTAAAATTTTCTTGGTTTAATAACGGTTTTATTCCTAAAGTTGTATATTTTTTTTCTGTTAGTCCTTGTAGTTAAAAACGTTTCTACATACCATTTGTGTTCTCTTTTAGTCCTAACGTTTATTTTGTAGGAACTAAAAGGAAAATTTATGCAACTATTTAGGAATTAAAAAAGTTTATGGACTAAAATAAAAAATATATATATAAATTAAAAGGTAAAATTTATGAAACTATAGTGACTAAAAAGATAATTAAACTAATTTTCTTTCTTTTTTCGTTGGTGTCAGTTATCCATAACCTGATATTTTAAATATTTCTTTCTTTGCTTTAGGAATTTCTATGCTAGAAATTATGAATAAATCGACCTATGAACACATCTCTGATCTTTTATCTTTTTCTAATATATCTAATGTGTTTTCTATGTCAAATTCAGGTGACCTGTGGTGTCAGAGGAAAACTTGATCCCCCTTGTAATGCTGTGGGATATATTGACCGAGAGGTGCTTGGAATTAATCACATGTATAAACGTCCAGCATGGAGGAGATCTGAAGTGTGTTGCTATTTTCTCCCTGACATTATTTTCTACTGCGAATTTGAAACACTTACTCTAATGCTATTGAAAGTTTCAAACACTTATTTCCTTTAGTGCTGCAGGCTTGCACCGAGAAATCCCCATATGAGGGGCCTTTTAAAAGAAATGCTCCTTCATGGTGTTATGCTCCTTTCGAGCCCGAAGGAATATTAAGGTTATATATGCTTGGTTCAGCTGAAAATCCCAAACATGCAGTTAACAGATTTCAATCAGTTCTTAACTACACTGACTTTGTTTGCTTTCAACTATATATATGCTATCATTATATGTGATCAAATAATTGAATATATTATTTAAAAAGAGTTGAGGCCTCCCATATTCATTATTCTTTTGTAAAAAAGCTTGGTTAGAGCTTGCCACAATTTTGAAATGCTTACACCTTTTGCGGAGTGTGCTATGATTATGAATACACCCCTTTGTTGGGCAAGCCAGATGTTTGACTTGTTCCACTGATCCTAAGAGCAATGTCTTGTGGCAGCTCAATATCTGCCATCCTCTCCACAATCATTGGATTGCATTTTGGACATGTACTCATACATTTACAGGTGAAGTAAAGTCTTCACATCAAAGTAATCAGTGCTTGACAACCCTCTAACCTGTGCTTACTTGTTCACTTTTGAGATTTTAGGATCACCCTTCTAGGTTGAAGCATTGGCTTCTCCTGGGCATAGCTCTCCTTACTTCAGGACTTGTTCTTCACTTCACTCATGGTGTGAACTCTTAACTCATGTTGGTTGGAACTTGCTTTATAACCATAGTCTATCCTCATTTATTCTGATGGTATCCCCTCCCCTTTCCTTTCTTCTGTTTTTTGCAGCCATTCCTTTGAACAAACAATTGTACACACTGAGCTATGTTTGTGTAACATCTGGAGCAGCAGCATTACTTTTTTCAGCCTTCTATATTATGGTTTTTTTTTTTCGGTAACAGTGGAAGTTGTTCCTTACTATCGATCATGTTTTCTCTCATCTGGATTGATTTAGAATTGTCATCGCAGGTTGATATTTGGAGTTTGACAATCCCGTTCTTGCCTTTGAAATGGATTGGCATGAATGCCATGCTTGTTTATGTCATGGCAGCTGAGGGAATCTTTGCAGGATTTATAAATGGGTGGTATTATGATGACCCTCATAATACACTGGTACATTCATCTCATCCAACTTTCTTTCAAATAAAACTTAGTTACAGTAACATACATACTCCTAGTACTGTTCTTTGATCAAAATTAGAGTTCTATCTTAATAATATATATTTACATTTAATATAGACCTCATTAATATAAAATTATATATATTAGTGAGGTGAAACTATTTTGGTTCAATATCCTTAAGATTGGGCACCATAATCTCTAACTTTGTATCTACTTCTAAGTTGCATACTCTACTCACTTCCATTTATTTGGATTATATTTCTTGTCCTTTTCCTTTTTATGTTTGAATTTAAAAAAGATGTAATTTTGTCAACAGGTCTATTGGATACAAAAGCATGTGTTCATTAAAGTTTGGCATTCAAGGAGAGTTGGCATCCTACTGTATGTGATCTTTGCGGAGATCCTATTCTGGGCTGTCGTTGCAGGCATTTTACACCGATTGGGCATATATTGGAAGCTTTGAATTTTCAAAAGACCACTTTTTATTTTTTTGTTGTTATTATTATTTTATCTGCGTATCCATGCTGTTGCCGAATGTGAATGGTTGTACAGCCATGTCGCTAACAAAAATAGTTAGTTGTTAATGGTTATTATCGGTTTCACACCACTAAATAATGTAAAGGATAAACTGCAAAGTTAAGTGCAGTTTCTCAGGAATCAGGATCCTTTTATATTTTTTTTTTCTATTAAATTTGAAGTTCTGTTTCAGTAAGGGCTAAGCTTTATTATTTCTAATTTTGTTCGAATGAAAAACAATATTACACTTTAGTCCTTTCTTCCACAGTCATATTTGAAAATTAAACTAAATCCGTCATATTTCATAACCATTTTTCTAAAACATTTTCTTTTAACACTATTAACAAATGAAATCTATTAAAAATTAGTGAGATTGAAAGGTTTAGGGGTGTGAAGGAAAGAAAGAATTCACTTCATTCTTGTTTGTTTGTAATTTTTTTTTCCAAAATAATATTTCACGGAAACATGTCTGTTATGTAAAACACAAAACGAAAACATGTTTCCATTTATAAGGGGTGAAGAAATACAATATACAATGGAAATAATTTTTTGTGTCTGGTTTTGGATATACGATGAAAACTTATTTTCGTTAGAAACATGTTACCATTGAATCGTGAAACTAAAAAAAAAATGTTTTTAATATTATTCTAAATAATTACAACACAAGATACCCTTTATATTAGTAATCAAATTAATTAGGATAAAAATTGTTATTTTTAATATTAATTTCAATAATTATAATACGATTTACCCTTTGTTTGAACAATAGTAAAACTAATTATTAATTACTATATAAATGTGTGATAATTAAGTAATTTTATGTGTTTTTGGTTAAAAGTGGGGAATGAACTCATTGAACACTCTCCATCTGATATTGATATCTATAGCTCATAGCCCATAGCCCATAGCCCATTTCTCTTAATGGGCTGGGGTCAAAGGTCACTTCATCTTTGACCGGCCCAGGAGTTCTGTTTCATAATACTGGTTATATTATACAGCAGAGGAATAATGAAAAAAAAATGGTGTGAGATTGCCACTCCTACAAGTTTTGTGTGTGTGCGCATAAAAAGTTGAATCCCTCTGATTCGGTAATTGAATCAATGGCGAGCGCCATGGTAGAGGATACTGCGAGCTTTGAAGATGATCAGTTGGCGTCTATGAGCACCGACGACGTCGTCAGAGCTTCTCGTCTCCTCGAAAACGAGATTCGCATTCTCAAGGTAAGTCTCTTCAATTCTATTTGCCATCCTTTAATTCGTTTATTATAGCTCTTTATTTGATGAGTTGTTTTTGTGCTTGAAGGAAGAGTTGCAGAGAACCAACCTGGAATTGGAATCGTACAAGGATAAGATAAAAGAGAATCAGGAGAAGATTAAACTTAATAAGCAGTTGCCCTACCTCGTTGGCAACATTGTTGAGGTTATTCACTGCTCCTTTTTCCTCTGCCGTATGTGTTTTTTTTTTGTTTAGTTACTGCCGTGGAGAACAATTCCATTATCAAATTTGTTTAAACTTTAAGAGTGAATTCCATGGGAGTTTTTCAGATTATAAATTTGAACCTCCCATTTTCCTTTTTTAGTTCCAGGACCTTTGTAAAACTGTATGTATAAACATTGATATCGCTTTTACAAACGGCCAAAAAATGGTTAACTTTGGTGTTTTTTCCTTTTGAAATTTGAGGTGTGTGATGATTCATTTTGAAGTATTTGCTGCAATTGACTGCGGGACTGAGCTTGTATTTGAGTTGATTTGCCTCTATATCACCCTATTAATGTGCAAAGAATAATGAATGACTGAATTCTGAGGCGAGGATGATCAGCAGAATTGGGGGATTTTTCTTGTTGGTGGTTTATCTTTGTTTTTTCTAGAGTAAATCATCAATTTGGTCCCTTAAATTGTAGCGGTTGGCCAATTTATCCTTGACATTAACGAAATAGCAAAATGGTTCCTAAACTAGTAACGGTTAATCAATTTGGTCCTGTTAGTTGGTGTTATACCATCATCTAACACCGTTAGAAAGACTGAGTTGGCTCCAGTGTAGCATCCAACTAGGCACACACGTGCCTGCCACATTAAAGGGACCAAATTGGTTTAAAATTGGATGAACCATTTTGACGAAACTGACCCCTTCTCTTTGCTTCATCTATTTAAAAACCATTTTTCAAGTTTGTGTCTGCAATTCACACCATTCCTGTCTTCCTCTACACGAGAGCTTAGAAAAAATGTTTCTTCAAAGTTTTCATTTCTGAAGGCATCTATTATGGAATTTAAAAAAAAAAAATACATACAGCGGGATGGAGTGGAGTGCAAGGATTACAGCGGCCTGACCTATGAGCAAGAAGAAGCGGATCAATGAGTGAGAAATCATTATTGCATAAATCAAACTCGAAGCTCAAATGAAATATTTTGGGTTCACACCACCATAGAACATAAACCCTAATCTGAAATGGATTGAAATATTAAGGGAAACCCCAAAAGGTAGGATGCAGAATAAAATCTTGAGCAAAGAATTCTATACCATTCTGGATTAGGGTATTTGTTCTCAGGAGTGAACCCGGAAGATTCACTTGGAGCTTCAGATTTGGTTAATATGAAAGTGATTGCTTTCTTGTTTTACTTCAAGTCAGGCTGCTGTAGCTTTCTTGTTTCATTGCATACGGCTGTAGAAGTGTTTATTAAAATTGCCCATCCAAATTTTTTGTCAATTTGGCCTCCCTTACATGGCAGGCATATGTGCCTAGTTGATGCCACACAAGCACTTAATGTGTCAACTCGGCTTTTTATAACACCGGCTAATGGTGAGACTATATTTATTGATGATTTACAATTTCAGGTACCATTTTTGCCATTTTGTTAATGTCAGGGATCACATTGACCAACCCCTCCTGCAATTTCATGGAGCATCTCAGCGATTCACTTGATTTTTATTACCTAATGTTCCAAATTCTGACAATATACTTTTGTATGCAGATATTGGAAATGAACCCAGAAGATGAAGCTGAAGAAGATGGGGCCAACATTGATCTTGACTCCCAAAGGAAAGGAAAATGTGTTGTGCTAAAGACATCTACTCGACAGGTGACAAAGCTGATAATTTCATAACTTTCGGACAGAAATTTCATGTCTCCCTATTTCAACTTCCAATGTCACTGTTTCATTAAGATTGTTTCTTACCTTTAATAGTATCTTTGCATTTCTTTTTGGATCCTCAGAAAAAAGATAATGGATTTGGAAATTGGCAAAGAAAAGCTCTAAATATAACTTACTGCAATAATAAGTTATGTTTTCTTTTGACTGCAGACAATTTTTCTTCCTGTTGTTGGGCTTGTTGATCCTGACACGTTAAAACCTGGTGATCTTGTTGGTGTTAACAAAGACAGTTACTTAATCTTGGATACACTGCCTTCTGAGTATGATTCACGAGTTAAGGCCATGGAAGTTGATGAAAAGCCAACGGAGGACTACAATGACATTGGTGGGTTAGAGAAGCAGGTACACTATAATTACTTGCAATTTATCAATGCACTCTTTTTTCTTATTTACATTTAGGTAGCAGGGTCTCTGATGATGTAATCAATAACTTGGTCTTTGCCAACAGATCCAAGAATTAGTTGAAGCCATTGTTTTGCCAATGACCCACAAGGAGAGGTTCCAGAAATTAGGAGTTCGTCCACCAAAGGGAGTGCTCTTATATGGACCTCCAGGGACTGGAAAAACATTAATGGCCCGTGCTTGTGCAGCGCAAACAAATGCCACTTTTCTGAAGTTGGCAGGTCCCCAGCTGGTCCAGGTATGACTCTTACTTTTTTTACCCTTTTAACTTTCTTATTATTTATGACCAATAACTTGATTGTGTCTTATTTATTACCTTTTTTGCCTTTTGCTTAAGTAATTGAATCGTTAGTATTTTCAATTTTACTGATTTTTAATGGGCTGATATTTTATTCATTCAATCTTTTTCAGCTAATAATTTTATTATGATTTTTGTTGATGAAACTTGTTGACTGTATGGAGATTAGTTATTCTTATATTATGTTTTCATATTAAGGATATAAATATGCTTTGGTTCTAGCATCTGATGATTCCCTATCGCTTCAAACCATCTAAATAGTCACATTCGTTTACTCTATTACATTTGAACTATTGTTCTACTTGCTTTAGATGTTTGTATACATATCTATGCACTGCATCTGTGTTTGGAATGGAGGAACGATCTAACCTGGAAATTTACAGATGTTTATAGGAGATGGAGCAAAACTTGTCCGAGATGCCTTTCAGCTGGCAAAAGAGAAGTCTCCATGCATTATATTTATAGATGAAATTGATGCAATTGGAACAAAGCGATTTGATAGGTATGAGCAGGCAGGATTTTAGATCTACATATTCATGCCCTTCTTTTTTTTCTTTTTTTTTTTTCTTTTCATTTTATAAGGTGAGGGCTGGTTCTAGTTTCAATGATAGCAATTTTGCAACCTTGTGATGTTATTGGGTTGTTGATTGCAGTGAAGTAAGTGGAGACAGGGAGGTACAGCGAACGATGCTTGAATTGCTCAACCAGCTTGATGGTTTTAGTAGTGATGACCGGATTAAGGTTTGCCTTTTATAGTTGTCTGTCTCTTTTTATGATTGATGTGATAAACAGTAATTTGGTTAACAGCCGAACGGTGTTATATGATTCATCTAGCCAACTTCACGTAGTGGGATAAAGCTGTGTTGTTTTTGATGGTGTGATGAATAATGAGCTTATAAAGAAGTTTACTGTCTTTGGGTGAAGCGTGTTAGAATATATCTATCTTCTTGAAACCCATCTTTGGGGTTAGTCACGTAACTGGTTTGTAATTTGATGTATAACAACTCAAATAGTGATTATTTACGTAATTAGATTTATAATTAAAGCAGTTTGTTTGTTTTTAAGGTTTTGCTACTGCAATCAGTACAATTGTCATCCTGAGACAATTCTGTTCACAGTGAAATTTGTTTTTTGTTGAACACGCTTATCCACTGCAGTATTGCTCAAAACAAACACACCTGATGTTGGCACAAAATGTGTTAGGTTTTTTTATTCAGATAGGATTTAGGTGATTGAGATGCCATTTTTACTTGTAAATTGCAGGTGATTGCAGCAACAAACCGTGCTGACATTCTTGATCCTGCCCTTATGCGTTCTGGTCGATTGGATCGAAAAATTGAGTTCCCACACCCAACTGAAGAAGCAAGAGCCCGAATACTGCAGGTTTTGTATCTTCAATTTTTTCCTGCTGACTTTTTTTTTTTTCCCTGATAAACATGTGCTTATGCCGTCACGTTAATATTATAGATCCATTCTCGGAAAATGAATGTTCACCCAGATGTCAACTTTGAAGAACTAGCTCGGTCCACAGATGATTTCAACGGAGCACAACTTAAAGCTGTCTGTGTTGAGGCTGGCATGTTGGCCCTTCGCCGTGATGCAACTGAGGTTTGGTTTCTTCTAGATATGCAACAACGTAATAATTAGAAAAAAAATATGATTTATCTATATCTTGAAGTTACTGGATTGCCATTCGTGTTTGGATCTTTCTTTTTCTTTTCTTTCTTTCTTTTTTCTGCTAATATGCTACTTTTATCAGAAAAATGTTGTCAAAATTGCTTCTGTAATTTTCTGCTGCAGTTCAATGCTGAAGCTTTGGACCCTTTATAGTTTGTAACACGGATTTGTCTGCCTGTGTGAAAAAATTATTAAATATGATTTTTGTTCAATTGCAGGTGAACCATGAGGACTTTAATGAAGGCATCATCCAAGTCCAAGCAAAAAAGAAATCAAGCTTGAATTATTATGCATAGGCACTCATCTCAATGAAAAATGAGCATTGATGTTTGACTTTTGTTTGCTATTATGATCTCACTTGAATCATATATAACGTAGAACTTGCTATCATCTTTTAAAACAGTAATTTGGTCTCAAATTCTTAGAAGTAGCTTTACATGTTTTATATACTTCCTGTTTTTAAATTCATCGTGTAGGTCTGGCTGCGAGAATTGACTATTTCAAGCAGGTTAACTAATCCCAACGTTATAAACCAATTTGAAAAATCGACTAATCTCAAAATTATACAGCTCAATAGCCAATACAATTGGATTCACCATTTATCATCTACTAGCTTCATTTTATTTAGATCATTAAATATGAATGTATGGTTAGGATATTCCAAGGAGAGAAGATGAAAAGAGAGTTGCTGGAGAGGACTAATTTTATGACCATTTATGAGCCTTTACCTTCTTTTCTCTTTGTTAAACCAAGGGTGATTTCCGGTTAAAAGTACTTGGATGTATTTAAGGATTAACTTCTTATTTGTCATATAGTCTAAAGATTGAATTCCCATCAGGTTAGATTATCTTACCAACTATGTAACACTATGTTGGTACCCACTCTCTATTTGCCTCCCTAGCAATTGGCCTCCCATTTTAATTGTCTAAGACTACACGAGCAAAAAAAGTGTGTATTAGATATACTAGCTATAAAGTTATTCTTAATTATGTCACGTTATTATTTAAAATTCCTATAAAAACTTATTTAAAGGGATGTATTAGAATGGTATGCAAGAATTACATTAATTTTATGTATTAAGAATTAGATTTTAACTTATTTAACTTGGATTATGCACTGAATTCACACCAATGCAAATAAAAGTAAAAAAAAATTGTTATTTGTGTGACAAATTGTACAACAATTTTTCCCAACTAAAAGTAAGACATAGGAAAAAAAATGATATAATAACTATTAAATGATGTGAAGAAGAATGATACGGACATTAGATGTATAAACTGTTGTAAAAGTTGGTTTATGGAAAATACATCTCAAACGAAATACAAATATATTAAAATTATAAATTAAACTAAATAAAGAATGAAAACAATATTAAAGAAATACTAATATAGAACTCGAATCATAGTGTTTGGAAATTAATTGTGAACTGAAAATGAAGAAATCACGTATAAGATATAGAAGTCGTAACTTTTTTTTTGGGTACACGTATAGAAGTTATAACTACTAGCTGCTTTTGAAAATCTCATCCCAAACGTAAAACTAAACACTTTATTTATCTTTTATACATGCATTTTATTACTACTATATGCAGCTTTAACAATTTGTATTTTTCATTCAAAAATTAAATTAATTATTTTCATTATTATTCTTTCGGTATAACTCTTGGCTACTAAGTTGGTCTATTTTAAAAGTAAAGTGATACATCAATTTTGATTTCATGTCTAAAGCAAAATAAAACTCTAATATTTGATAAATTAAAAAAATACATATATGAAATCACTAGTATGAGCAATTTTGGATAATTTTTTATTGGTTTAAATATGTTTTTAACCCCTTAAATTTAGGATAAATATGTTTTTGGTTCTCTAAATTTAAAATTGTTATTTTTAGTTCATGTAATTTCAAAAAATCTTATTTTAGTCCTTGTATTCAAATTTTGTTAAAAAATTTATCAAACATTATTGCATAAAATCTATTATTGGTGTCTCTATTAGTAAAAATATCACATTAAATCCTGATATTGCATAACTGTCTTAATTAGTCACTTTCAAATATGTTATTGATGACCTAAAGGACTAAAACAAGATTTTTGAAAATTACAAGGACTAAAAATAACAATTTTAAATTTGAGGGACCAAAAATAAATTTTGTCTTAAATTTTAGGGACTAAAAATATATTTAAACTTTTTTTCTATTATTAAATTTTGATGAATATAAAACATGTGATTGTGGATTATTATTATTATTATTGTTATTGTTATTATTTCCTTATTTTATTATCAATAATGAATTATATTTTTTTACAAATACTTGTAGGAATTTTTATTAAATATTTTATTTAATTATAATTAATTGAAGACTCGAATTAGTTAATAAAATAAAGTTATTTTTATTAAATAAATTATTAAAATCATGATATTTATATTTTTATGATTACAAAAAAATCTATTTAATTTTTTTTAACAATAACGACCATGAAATTTAAACATAATAATTCAAATGAACTGTCCTTTTTTTTTTTTTTTTTTCGCTGGACCAATTCTAACGAGATTACTTAATTATTTCTCTATATTCCCTGCATGTTTTTCACAATAGTTTCTTTTAAATTTGTCATAAAGATATGTCTCAGCCAAAAATGACTAAACTTGGTAGGAAAAAGAATTTAAACCTTCTATAGGTATAGATACCTTGAAAGATAGGGGTGTTCATGGATCGGTTTTTTCAAAAAACCGATCCAAACCGAACCGAACCGTTTTATAAAAATAGATCGGTTAACCGATCCATTTTTTATAAAGTGGATCGGTTTGGTTTTTTTAAAATATGAATCGGTTTTTTTGAAATTGGATGGTTCGGTGCGGTGCAGTTATCCATTTTTTTACTCATATATGGATAAAACCAAACCGAACCGAACCGATCCACTTTGTAAAAATGGATCGGATAAATAAACCGGTTTTATAAAGTGGTTCGGTTCGGATTTTTTTCAAAATGGATCGGATTTTTCAATATGGATCGGATCGGTTATGGATCGGTTCGGATCAATTTGGATTTTTTGCACACCCCTATTGAAAGAGATAGAAAGAAAGAGGAAAAAAAAAGTATTTTAATGATTTGAAATAATAAGAGAAATTAAAGAAAAGAGTGTCACTATTGATATTAGTTGTGTAAATAATTAAATATCATACCCAAGTCGGCGTTACTCTTCTCATTAAAATATATATGATTACGAACATATCTAAAGAATCAAACTATCAACTTGTACCGATATTTATTTTTCTTTAAAATAATCATGATACATTGAAACCTATAAATATGAATAAAGAGCTATATTATTAAGTTTTCTATAAATGCACTATTTACATATGTGGTATATATTATATAATAAATAATATATAAAATTCATTAAAAAAATAGGTTTAAATATATTTTTATTCTTTAAATTTAAGATATATTTTTTTAAAATTTAAAATTATTTATTTAGTCTATATAATTTTTAAAAATTTTATTTTAATCCTTTAAATTATCAATAATATATTAAAAGTGACAGGATAAAATAATAATTTAGTATTAATTAGATTTAATTTAATATTTTTATTAACCGAAATATTAATAAGTAAATTTTATGTAATAATATTTGATAAATTTTTTAGTGTATAATAATTAAAATAAAATTTTAAAAATTACAAGCATTAAAAAAGATTAATTTTATATTTAAAAATTAAAAAATAAATTAATCTTAATTTGAGAAATTAAAATTATATTTTAGAAAAATAATAAATAGTAAGAATGGTGCAATGGGTGATTAAACGCGTGAGTCACGTAGAAAGGAAAAGGAAAGACGGGTTCAACCAAAATTAAATGGTAAAAAAATCCGTAAACGTAGTTTTGTTTGGACAACAGTTTTTACGAGTCCAACCAGAATATCTAACGGTCCAAAATTAAGACAAAAAAGAAAAGCAAGAGATAGAGATTTTGCTGCCATCCCAATCCCATTTCTCTAACTCCAAACCTTCTTCTTCTCTTCCCTTCCCTTTTCTCTCTCTCTCTCTCTACTGAACAAAAGGAAAAAAAAAAAAACAAAAATGAAAAAAAGGAAAAAAAAAAAAACAAAAAAAAAAAAACAGAAAAGAGAGAGTTTAGAATTTAGATCTCACCTATTTTACTTCATCGCATCGTAACATTCTCTTCTCTGTCCTAATCCTCTTCATAGTGATGCCATCATCTTAGGGTTTTGAATTGCGATGGGTCTTGGAAACGATGACGATGACGGAGACGCGCGCAACTCCTTCTCTTCAGTGCCGTGCTCGATTTGCCTCGAGCCTGTTACCGACAACGGTGATAGATCCTGGGCCAAGCTTCAATGCGGACATCAATTTCATCTCGGTGTGTATTAGATTCTTCTGCTCCGTTTATTGTTTTTTTCGTTTCAATTTGACGCTGTTGTAATTGTTGGATTGTACTTTCAACATTCGAGATCTGAGTTTCTGTGGCGAGCGTCACAATTGAGGAACGGTTGTTTTGCCATGATAGGATTGTGTTAAAACGATGTTGCTGGATGAAACTGCTTTTGTATGTTTGATTTACAAGATGTTGTGGTTTTTGCTGGAGTGGTGGATTTTTCGGTGAGCTTGTTTTGGAATTGCTTGACGGTGAATTCAATATTTGAACACATGTTCCTTGTTGACTGTGTTGAATTAGAGGTTGGGAGAGGAAGAAGAGTGCTATGAGTTTTATTATTATTATTATTTTGAAATGGACAAAGGGAGAGCTTAGGTAGATCTTTCCTCGTACTTTTTTCATTCAATACCGTGTTCCTCTGATTGAATTATGGCAGCGAATAGTGATTTTATGAATTTCTATGGATAGTAAGTCATCGAATTTCATTATTCTTGTTAAACTGATTGATGCTAACTCTTCTGGAAGACATTTAATACTTCTCAACTTGATCAAAGACATGTATAAATTGGCTAATAAAATTACATGTCATCCGCTAGCATTATTAAAAACATTGCGGATTCTCGGCTGGAAATATTGATAGATTGGTTTGGATGAGCTGGAAAATCTTTTAATTACATCATAGTATCTTCTCTGTGACTTGAGCCTATAGCCATTTTGCAAACAACCTCCCAACATGTTCTATGTAGTGGTGACTTGTTGAAAACTGAAACTGAAAAATTACTGGCTTGTACCATTACTTTGATTAACAACACTTGTCTTGTGAACACATGTACTTATTTAGTTGTTTTAATGCAATATTGTTCGGTTTCATGTTTTACTGGAATCAATTTATAACAAGCTGTTGGCTGCATCTGCTCGGCATCACGTCATACACATGTCATTGGCTTATACGGATACTATTATTAATATCTATCATATAAAACACTTCTGATTCTCGGCCAAAAATATTGAGTGGTTATGGTGATCTGGGAAAATCTTTTAGTTACATCATAATGTCTTCTCTGCAACTTGAGCCTTTAGCTGTTTTGCAAACCACCTCCCAACATGTTATATGTAGTGGTGACATGTGGAAAAACTTAAAATGAAAATTTACTGGCTTATACCAGTGCTTTGTTTCATAACACTTTTCTTTATGAACACATATACTTGTTTAGTTTTGTTTTAATGCAATATTGTTTGTTTTCATGTTTAATTTTTTACTGGAATCAATTTATAACAAGCTGTTGGCTGCATCTGCATGGCATCACATCATACACGTGTGCTTGGCTTATACCGTTATCTATTGCATAAAACACTGCTGATTCTCTGCCAAAAATATTGATTAGGTTTTGATGAGCTGGGAAAAATCTTTTGGTACATCATAGTGTCTTCTGTAACTTGAGCCTATAGCCTTTTCGCATACCACCTCCCAACCAGTTCTATATAGTAGTGACATGCAGAAAAGTAAATGAAAAATCACAATCTTATACCAGTACATTAATTCACAACACGTGTCCTGTGAACACATGTATTTAATTAGTTGTTTTAACACAATATTGTTTGGTTTCATTTTTTACTAGAATCAATTTATAACAAAGTGTTGGCTTCATCTGTATGGCATGACATCATATTGTTTTGCTTCTTATTACCTCCTTTATACTATTCAGATTGCATTGGCTCGGCCTTCAATATAAAAGGGGCAATGCAGTGCCCAAATTGTCGGAAGATTGAAAAAGGTCAGTGGCTTTATTCTAATGGTTGCCGATCATATCCAGAATTTAGCATGGATGAATGGACACATGATGAGGATCTATACGATGTTAGCTACTCTGAAATGGTAATAGATGCTGCACGTGTCCTTATAATTGTTTGTCATTTTGTTTCTCTATTATAGCATGTGTTTGCCTTGGCTTATTTTTCAATCAGCCTTAAGTTTAACAATGCGGAAAAAGGTGGGTTGTTATTTCTGAACTTATGCACATAACAAGTATCAGGAGAGACAGGGGCTGAGCTAGAATTCTGAATTAAGGGGGCCAAGCCAAAAAAATTGACCTATTAATGAAAATTAGAATTTTCACATACATTGCATATGCAAAAAAATTAATATAACTAATCATTAAGTAAAAGAAATATATAATTATATTGAATATAAGAGATAGCATATAAATAACATAAGAAAAGAAATAGATTAGATGGATTTTTTTCATATTCTTTATGATAAAATAAGGAGCCATAAAAGAAATTTATATGGTCATTTATATAACTTACAAAATTTGGTATTGCCCATGCCCTCTTACCCCTGAGGAGAAAGCTGTTTGAACTTGACCTGCACATAACAAGTATCGGACTTAAATGTTGTTAGCATTAAACCATTAATTAATGCAATTAAATACTGTTGTCCAGACAAAATATATGCCCCTAGAGAGACATTAATTTTAAATCATACTATCCGGTACAGGCTACATTTGATCTTCTACTGATTTTAAAACTACTGATTTTTTTCAAAAAGGTTTTACCCTGAAGTTGTTTAGGACAGTGTTTAGCTATATGCCCTCTCCAGCAGTATTGTTTATATCATATTGTAAGAGTAGGACACATCAGGGGGGAATTCTAGATTGAAAAAGAACTGCATGTTATATGCCTTCTCCAGCGGTATTATTTATATCATATGGTAAGAGTAGTACACATCAGGAGGGAAGGAAAAACTACTTTCTTGATTGAAGAAAAACTGGATGTTGTATGCATTTAGCCAGTCAATAATATCTCAATATCTTTGACCTCCTTTGAAGTTTAACTCCGTCTTTCATTTGCCTTCTTCATTCCTATACCTTTTCCAATCTTCCAAATGTACTACTAAAATCCCTATTGGTGCATTCTTTTTCTCTATTATTATTTATAGCACATAATTCTAGTGGATGTCCCTTTTTTTATATATAATATAAATAGTTGTAGTTATCTCATTCTTTTCCATTTGTATGTGGATAGATAAATTCCACTTGCCTTGTTAACTAAACTCTGATTTCTAAATGCTTTCTGCAGTCCTTTGGAGTTCACTGGTGCCCTTTTGGTAACTTGACCCGGCTTCCTTCATCTTTTGAGTAAGCTTATAGTAATATGAATATGCATGCTAGTCAATCTCAGTTCAAATTCCTATTTGTGATATTCTTTTGTTCTTTAAAGTACCTGGCCCGAGAAAACATGCATATGGAATTTTGTGAAGGCTGTTTTTAAGATACAATTGATGCTTTCAGTGTGATTGATACCATCTGAAATTGTTTTTAGGTCACCAACATTTTATGATTTAGTGTTTTTAGCTTGGAGCTAGATTAGGTTTATAAAATCAAGCGTGGTTGAAGTATTAATACCACCTGAAATCTTGAATTCAGATTATATTTTAGAATAAAACCAGAGAGCAAAATGTGGGAAGCGCAAATGGTTATTAAGAATTTGAAGGCAGTAGCATCAGTAGAATTTGAGTAGTTTCTAAGTTGCTCCATAAAGTCTTTGTATTTAATAAGACTTTAATTTCCAATTGATTCAGGACAGAACTTCCCATATTATCTTGTATAAAGCCATATATCAACTTGGGAATAGACCAGTCTAGTTTTGTTTTGAACTGCCAAAATTTCCAATTGATTCTTGTAATTGAATTTAATCTCATCAATACAGATTGTTACGTCATACTTCTAATATGTTAAAGATAATAATTCTTTTTGGACAAATTAGAAATAGGAATTCTTGATAAAAATATTTCAAGTGGAATTCTAGTATTCAAGCATACTCATCTACCCTAAAAAAGGATTCAGGATATATCTCATGCCCTTGCATTTAATTTTTCTTTCCTTGTGAAGATATATCTTTATTCAGTAGGAAAAAAAATGGTCTATCTACATAATGCTCGTTTTCGTTATATTTCCTTGTATTTTTACCGTTGCTTGTCATTTCCAACAAATGATTTGTTTAGAATGTTCCTTTGGGCTTTCAAAGCTGATTCCAGTTCTGTAACTGTTGTGAAGCAAAATCATGGTCTCTGTCAGACATATTGAAATGGAAGATTGGTTGTGGTTGTATTTGTATGTTACTATTATGGAAAATTGGGGGAAGCAGTTTTTTGGTAATAATGGTGTTTGCCAGCGTTATGCTTGTTTTGGTTATACATTTACCCCCCCCTCGCCGC